TTAGAGTGGCTACCTGGAGTCATTTCTACCTTAGAGATGAGCATGTTATGGGCCTTGCAAAACATGCTGAAACTACTGCTTCATAGTACCCCACCTGTTGTATTTTTAAGAGAAACTTTCAGAAACCACTATGTTTTAGTGGTTATTAGCTAGTAGTAACTACCATTTACTATATTATTTCTTATAGCTATGTTTTCAGGTTTTTTAGAGTATATTTGATGTATTTAAGTTAGACAGTAGCATTTCTTGGCGTGAAACGGGGGATTACAGCTAGATATATTATTGTATTCGACTGTATTTACGGCGAGAAACAGGGGATTACAACTAGATAGATTATTATATTCAACGGTATTCGACTGTATTCACGATATGTATTTGTGAATACAGTAACGTAAATAGCACAATTCATGGTCTATTCAGTTGTTTTTAAACGGAAAGTGAATCAATTAACACAAATAGACTTCTAATATAACTCAACAAACTAAATTATAAATCTGAATAAACAAATACATCTGAATACATAAATTATATTAATTAAAAAACATATGAATACATTCATGAAATATAGCGAGACAGTGAATACAATGAAATATATGGAATATAGCGAGATACATTGAAATACAATGAGAAAAAGACAATGAATACAATAAAACACATAGAATACACCGAGATACATTGAAATACAATGAAAGCCATATTTATTATATCAGCTCAATTCGAGTACTTTTTCTTGTTTGCCACTATTACACCACCACCGACGCCGACACCAAACTGATAAGATATTTGTTTACAGATTTACAATTCAAGATATTTGGCAATGTGTAACTAACTATCTCCACCGCCGTCAACAGAAATTGTGCCTTCGTTAAAGGAAGAGCGGGAGGAAAACGATTGAAGGACCGGCACAAGAAAGTTACACCAAAAAATTCTTGGAACTTGAAAAATCTTTGAGTAAAATGGTCTATGCCCTCCATGTGATATAAGTATCTCTAATTCGATTCACAAGATCCTCAAAAGACCGGCACACGAAAGTTGAAGGTCGTGGTCGGAGAATCCGGATGTCGGCGACCTGTGCTGCTAGAATCTTCCAATTAACACGAGAACTAGACCATAAATCCGACGGTGAGACTAATTTATCAACGCCGAGCATGAGATTTGAAGCCGGTATCTGAAGTAGGCCATGAGATCTGATTTGTTAAAACAAGAGAAATTTTCGTTGAGAGAGAGGGAGTGTGGAGAAAAATCTGAAAGAATAAGAGAGAGAAAAATAATACAAAACGTATTTTATGGTTTAAGGATAGGAAGTGATCATAAATAGATATTTAGCTACAAAAATTAAAAGGTAACTATGTAATATAATTTTTTAAAAAGGTATTTATTTAAAATAAATAAGATATTAACATTTGCTATAGGTAAAAATTTCTATTTTTAACCCAATTTTCTTGCTATAAGGTAAGCTCGAGTCTCTTGCATTTCCACATAACTGTTCACTGATTTTTTGCGGGCTCTTTATTTTCCCACGTAGAAAGCATAAATATCAAAGACTGACTGGATAACATTTATAACACGCACAACTATCCACGCAACATCCAAATCTATGGCTTCTATTCAACACATCTCAAAGAATTAGCAAACACCAACTTAAAGCTCTCCATCATTCCCTTTTGCATATATAATTGCCTTTTACCCCGCTGTTTTAGAAGGAAAATAAAATCTCCATATTCCCCAAAATTTAAGAACAAGAATTGATCAGCAATACAACTAAAACCAAATCAAACAAACACCTTCCAAAAATAGTTATGGCCAATTCTCTCCTCTCTTCCAACTTCATGGGTTCTCAAATCTTTGTCTCTCCTCCCACCCCTAAAACAACAAAGTATTTCCATTTTCACTCCAAAAGAAAGTCTTTAATCCCTCAATCAATTCTCAACAAAAAACCCAATTCAGATAATTCAAAGAATATTCCTTCAAAAGCTGCTTTAGCTGCTTTACTCTTTTCTTCAATCACTCCACATGCCTATGCTCTTGATAATACTACCCCTACAGTACCAACCCCTCAAGTGATTCAAGCTGAAGCAGCCAATCCCACCACTTCAAATCCATTCTCTCAAAATATAATCTTGAATGCTCCAAAGCCTCAAGCACAGACCAATCCTGAACTTCCAGAAGTTTCTCAATGGAGATACAGTGAGTTCTTGAATGCTGTAAAGAAGGGTAAAGTTGAAAGAGTCAGATTCAGTAAAGACGGAACTACCCTTCAGCTTAATGCTGTTGATGGCCGTAGAGCTAGTGTAATTGTGCCTAATGACCCGGATTTAATTGACATTTTGGCTATGAATGGTGTTGATATATCAGTTTCTGAAGGTGATTCTGGTGGTAATGGGTTGTTTAATTTAATTGGAAGTTTATTCCCTTTTATTGCTTTTGCTGGATTGTTCTATCTTTTCCAGAGATCTCAAGGTGGGCCTGGTGGGCCTGGTGGGCTTGGTGGGCCCATGGATTTTGGTAGATCAAAGTCCAAGTTTCAAGAAGTTCCTGAAACTGGAGTGTCTTTTGCTGATGTTGCTGGTGCTGATCAAGCTAAATTGGAGTTACAAGAAGTAGTTGATTTTTTAAAGAATCCTGATAAGTATACAGCTTTAGGTGCTAAAATACCAAAAGGGTGTCTTTTGGTGGGACCACCTGGTACAGGAAAGACACTTTTGGCTAGAGCAGTTGCTGGTGAAGCTGGTGTACCATTTTTCTCATGTGCACCATCAGAGTTTGTTGAGTTGTTTGTTGGTGTTGGAGCTTCTAGAGTGAGGGATTTGTTCGAGAAGGCGAAGTCGAAAGCGCCTTGCATTGTGTTTATTGATGAGATTGATGCTGTGGGAAGGCAGAGAGGTGCAGGAATGGGAGGTGGGAATGATGAGAGAGAGCAGACTATTAATCAACTCTTGACTGAAATGGATGGTTTTTCTGGAAATAGTGGAGTAATTGTTTTGGCTGCAACCAATAGGCCTGATGTTCTTGATTCTGCATTGTTGAGACCTGGGAGGTTCGATCGACAAGTGACTGTCGACAGGCCTGATGTTGCTGGTAGAATCAAGATTCTTCAGGTTAGTGTATTCTTCTTCTCTTGGCTTCAACTTTATGCTTGTTCTTGTCTAGTGTTGGTTTCCTCATTCATTATCCTTTGGAAAAAACTCAAAAGGAGTCATATGTAGTGATTGAAATTAGCAAATTTGCAATTTCATTATGGACATACTTCATACGGTAGACAATAATGTGATATGCTGTACCTTGAGGTAATGTGAGTGTTAAAAATGCATTTGCTTGATCTATTGAAAAATCGTTGTAACTTGGTGAAAGTGTTGCTGAACAAGCCTGAAGAGTTCCAATTTGAAAAGCGTAGTATTTTTCTTAAATATTTTTTTATTACATAGGGTTCGGGGAAGGGGAAATGGGGGAGGGGAATATAAGGCGGAGAATCGAGCCCTCACCAACAAGGTGAAAGTTCAGGTAGCCAACCAACTATACTACTAAGATATCCCCTAAAAGTGTGGTTTTTACAGGTGATATATCAAAAACTGAGTATACTAATGTTAAACACAAGTCCAGTCCCCATATCTGGAAAACAGACTTCTGCTTTCTCGAAAAATATTTTCTGTTTGTTGAACTGCTTGTCTTACCATTATGCATGACAGGTGCATTCTAGAGGAAAGGCCCTTGCAAAGGATGTGGACTTTGAGAAGATTGCCAGGAGAACACCGGGTTTCACTGGTGCAGATTTGCAAAACTTGATGAATGAAGCAGCGATCCTTGCAGCTAGGCGTGAACTAAAGGAAATAAGTAAAGATGAGATATCTGATGCTTTGGAGAGGATAATTGCTGGACCGGAGAAGAAAAATGCTGTTGTCTCAGAGGAGAAGAAGAAGCTGGTAGCTTATCATGGTATGAAAAAAACTAAATAACACACTTAGTTAGTAGTCACTCTTTTTGATGGTGTGTTTACATTTGGATTACAGAGGCCGGCCATGCCTTGGTTGGTGCACTTATGCCCGAGTATGATCCTGTTGCCAAGATATCTATTATTCCTCGGGGCCAAGCTGGTGGTCTTACCTTCTTTGCCCCTAGCGAAGAAAGACTTGAGTCGGGCTTGTACAGCAGGAGCTACCTAGAGAATCAAATGGCAGTTGCACTTGGTGGAAGGTCAGATTTACCTATTGTGCAATGTTTATGTTCATCCTTTTGCACCTGTTTAGATGTTTATTACTCCAGTGTATCTTGAAGTTAGTTATTTGCCCCTTATAATAAGACTGAAGTATCAAACTGCACGCTATTTCCTCCTTGTATAGTTGCTTCTAATAGATCGGAGTGCTGGGTTCTTAGGGTAGATGATCTTATTAACTCATCCATTTCTCGACTTCCCCTGCTCTTCCAGGGTTGCTGAGGAGGTTATTTTTGGACAAGACAACGTAACAACTGGGGCATCTAACGATTTCATGCAAGTTTCACGAGTGGCAAGGCAGATGGTTGAGAGATTAGGGTTCAGCAAAAAGATCGGACAGGTTGCCATTGGAGGAGGTGGAGGAAATCCTTTCCTAGGTCAACAGGTACAATCATCATGCAAGTTATCTTTTTCGTTTCAGTGCTGCAAGAATTGTTAATCATGCCTTAAACATTTTCGTCGTTTAATTTCAGATGTCAACCCAGAAAGACTACTCCATGGCAACAGCCGATGTGGTTGATGCTGAAGTAAGGGAATTGGTTGAAAGAGCATATGAAAGGGCAACACAGATTATCACAACACACATTGACATCCTACACAAGCTTGCTCAGCTGTTGATAGAGAAAGAAACTGTTGATGGTGAAGAGTTCATGAGCCTTTTCATCGATGGCAAGGCCGAGCTATACATTTCATGATTTCACCAATATATCCTCATGAATCTGTTGTATTAACAAAATATATACATACAATTGTACACATTGAGAAATTTTCATATTTTGACAAGTTAGAGTGAAAAACTTGACATGCGCATTTACCAACCAAGCAAATGATTCTCTTCCTTTGTCATACATAGTTCTAAGGCAATCACACTCAAACAAATGATACAAGAACTTTAGGCTAATTTTGTGGTGACAAGAATAAATGATAGAACCAAAAGAATGATACAAGTCGGGTATTATCAAGATCAAGATCCTCTTCCTCCTCGTTTTTTCTCTTCGAGAATTGCAGCCTCATTCAACATGTCAGCTGCATCTTTGTGCATGTCTAGCTTGGAAAGTGCAACTGCTTGCATGTAAAATGCTGTAGACCAATCTGGGTAGACACATTGTGATTGCATTGCATCTCGAAGGGCAGCATCCGGTTGATCACACATGAGATAACAAAGACTTCTCCGTGCATAGACAGTTGGAGACACCATTGTTCCCACATCTACGAACTGCAATGAGAAATGAAAATAAGCAAATTGCCCTAATGTATATTCATTCATCTTATCCAAATAAACAAGCCAATAAACACACTCTGTTAACCTAAAATCAGCTAGATCATCATTTACTAGCTAAAAACAATGAAGTATAACAAGAATTCAAGAGACCTATACTACTATTGCAGAAAAGGTGATCGAGTAAAACTGTAAAACATCAAATGGAGCTGCAAATTTCTCCCTGCCAAATCTGCAGTAATCTCATTCTCAAAAAGGCAGTTTACGTCGTGCTACAATATTAGCATAGAATGGGCCTCTCCATTGGATGTCCCATTTAACATGGCAGATTTTACCACTCACTCAAACAACCAACATGTCACAACCCGGTGAGCTAGACCAGCTAGAGTATAGAATTACATGTCAAGAATGCATTGAGTCTATTACTTGGATTATTGGCCAAGGATGACTCACTGGTCAAACAAATAACCAAAATGTCACCAACTTGGTGAATGAGGCCACGTACAGTTAGATGTGGAAAAGTCACCATAAACACAGGCCCCATTCAGATATTGGTCTTCTGTTAAATGGTTGAATTTAGATGGCTTTAAAGGAAACTGAAACTTCAAGGAGATGCACCAAGTTTGAAATTCCAAATCAGATACATAATAGATTTGGGGAATGTCAATGAACCCAACCAAAAAGTGGCACAAAACCTGCCATTCCCACCCAAAAAGGAGACTCATGTCTCTATCAATCAAGGGAGTACTAGTTATGGCATCGAATTGTATAATGGTTTTCCGGAGTTAGTATGAATCATATTCCGGTCTAAAGTCTCGACTGCGTCAGAGTATCTTTATTGCCGATAACGACCTTACTAGAATGAATGCAAATACCTGAGAATAGCAATCTATGGCCGTTTTAAAGTCCTTGTCCCGAAATGCCAAGTCTCCCCGTTTTCTTGCCTCTAACATATCCCTCATCTGCTGAGTCCACTCTTGGAAAGACAACTGCATCATTGGGTGTCCAGCATTAATATAAGGATGTCAAAGAAACAGACACTTCTGCAGAGGCAGTTTGGGTCAAAAGAATTACCTCATTTGTCCCTTCATCGTCTTTATAATGTGTCATTACCAAAATCTGATGAATAGCTGTGAGATCCATTCTCGAACAAGCATCACCCATTGCAGAAAGAGGGTGCTGTGGAGTTGGTGGAGCTTCCTCAGGCTTAGGAATACCCAACATTACATGAGATGCGACCTGCAACCAGAATACCAGCAACTCCTTTCAACCTCTAATTGAATAAGACAAAGCAATCGATAAGAGTCTAGACTAATGAAAACAGAGTCAAAGTTCCTGCCAGAAGCAGTTGCTCATAATTGCCCATGACAAAAAGAACAGAAGATGTGCATACATTCATACAGAAAGGCATGTGGGGGCATCTTAAGATAGAGGAGAAATGAGGAGGCAAGATTACATACACGACATGAGGTAATTTTGCTTGATGAAAGACCAACAAAATTCAACGACAATATGAGCTTTTTTCGCATATCTTTTGGAAGGGGGGAGGATAGAAAACAAGACATCAAGAAAAATAGAGTACATTATGGCGGTAGGACTAACATCAGGTTTACTTTGCAATGGACCAAGTGTTGAAACGAGGTCTTTGGTATTTGGTCGCTCCCTGGGTTCATACTGCAAGCAGCGTGAAGCCAGATCAAATACAACGGTTGCCTCTTCTGTCGAGAAATTTCCCTCCAAATGTGAATCCATTAATAGAAGAATGTTTTTGCCCCGTATCATATCAAGTGCCTGAAACATAAAGGAATGAACTGAGCACATAAATTTCAAAGTTGATACTTAAAACAGTTGCATAAACGGGGAGAAATTATAAAACAAAAATAAGGTAAACACAAATAAGGAATGCTCTTCCGAGAGAAAGTGAAAGAAATATACTCAACATGAATGTTAACGTCACACGAATTTCTTCCTCTTCAGTTAAAAAGTTAAGCAAAGGTACATAAAAAGCATGTGGATGTTTAGCTTAGTCAAAACAGTTTCAAACTCCATTCCCGGCCTAATGTCCAACTGCCCTCCTATTACTAGTCCAACAACAAAAGTCGTATATGGTCCCTTGTATCAAATAATTTCCAGAGCACCAGCACATAAATGCAGCATGAAGTGTTCCCATCATCATGAAGTGGCACTCCCCGAGACTTGCAGCAAAAAGAAATGGATGTACAACTGACAAACAGACTCTTAGAAACTTACATGACCAGGAGGAATATGTTTTCCACTTAGCAGATCCAAAAGGACAGTTCCATAGCTGAAAACAACACTTTCTTGAGTAACTCTTCCTGCAAATAGACAAGAAATTATTCCTCCCCTAATATAAGTTAACAATGAGAAAGATGATAAATAGAAAGCGTTAGATATCAATAGAATCACTAATGCAGCTCATAATGACATCTTGCCTTTTTCAATTGTCATATTTAAGTTCCATCTCCCCCTTCTCCCGAAAAAAACATACTGAAAGCAGGAATGTAATAGAACTATCAGAACATAATAGTATAACACCAGCATCCCATGAGTAATACATGGTTATGTAGGATTGGAATTCCAAAATCACTCTAAGGGTCTGAGATACATGAAAATCTCTTCTTAGTGAACAGCCCTACGGGGTTATCGTCCCATCCCCACCGCCACCACCCAGCTACCAATTTCAAGTATCAGACTAGTGATAGTACTTGACCATCAAGTAAAATCTTAAGTGATCATCTGTCAAAGAGAAAATGAAAACACCAACGGAATCCGCATATATAACACACATGGAATCCTCATCTCTTTTCACATAAGTGCCAACTTCCAGCCAACAGGACAGAATGATTGTATTGTGTGAGGAGATTTAGCCAACCCCCAAAAGTTCCGATCCCACATAACATCAGTATCCAATACTCAGGAGGTGTATAAGCTCAAGTAAGAAAAAGTTAAAACTCAACCGAGAAAGAAGTTAGAAGCTTTACCATTTCTTAAATACTCAGGAGGTGTATAAGCAAGGTTCGTGCTATAACTTTTACCATCCCTGCTATTTTTCATCAGCCCAAAACAAGAAAGACGGGGATCGCCATTCTGCCAAATCATTTATCAAATNCAGTTCAAGCTCAAAAAGAAGGGGTCCATCAAAACACCTCGTCGAAGAGAACTCTATATGCGTTCAAGTCATGGTATAGTGGTCGACCTTCACTGCTACAGTAATCCAATGCTTCAGCAATATATAGAGCCACCCTTAAACGCATGGCCCATTCAAGGGTTTGATTCTCCCCTGCAGAGAAGGAAAGAAGCAAATGCAGTTCGCAGAAACCATGAGATGAAGGAATATATAAATTGCATCAGATTAAATAGGGACGAAACTGCATGCTAAAACAAGTATATAACCAGGAGGTATATCACGAAACTTGTGTATCAAAAAAATAACCACACACGAGACATACAGATATAAACCTCTTCAACACCCTTCTCGCATTTCCATGCTTAAAAATGGAAATGTCGTGCTCGTAGATAAAGCCCAGCAAATGTCTCAATTTTCCAAGTAACGTCTTTCATCACAAAAATTTAAGTTTTTAGTGCCCAAAACAACCATCTGCCTCTCTAATGCGCAAACGAAGATCATAACTATCAACTACTAAGATACAAGTTAGTCGATAAATCAAAAAACAAGGTTAATATCTCCAAACACTTATCAGAGAATGCAGTTAATGTTAACTTAAGCTTTTCTTCAACTATGAGCAATCAAATAATCTTGATTTTCTCCCTTCGTTCCTATTGAAAAGCAGCAAGATTGAAGCTAAAAAAACAGAAGTAGCAGTAAAAGATAAAGGCATACAGTGAAACAGATGTTTAGCAAGTGTATCATTTGGCATGTACTCAGCTACAAGCAGCCTCTCATCCCCATCAGAACAGTACCCAATCAAATTAGCCAGCCGTTTATGCCTCAATTTCCCAACACCTGATGCTTCATCCTGTAGTTACAACAAACAAAAAAATCAAATAAATTCACATTAAACCAACAACAAGAATTAAGCCTCAATCTTAAACTAGTAGAAGTCGGCCATATCCATTCCGCTCTATTTGGGTTCATTTCAAATAGACATTAAACCCTAACTTTAAAAAATGAATAAGCAAATGACGACTCCCAAAAAAACAAATATATTGAAGANTTAGAAAATGAATAAGCAAATGACGACTCCAAAAACAAACAAAAAAAAATATATTGAAATAAAGTCCAATACCGCAAACTGTTTAGGATCAGGCCAAGCCGTTTTAGTAAATTTCTTAACAGCGATCCAACGCCGATTCTGCAAACGGCCCTTGTAAACCATATTAGGTGCCTTTTCACCACTTTCAGAAACTATAAACTCTGAGCTGAAGTTATTCGTAGCTGCTTTGAGCTCAGAGAGTGAGAACTCCGAAAAAACCGGTACACCACCATCACCCACGGCGGCGCCGGTGCCGTTGGAAGCGCGTGGGTGGCTCACTCCTCCATGGCGCTGATCCTTCTCTGAGCTTAACTCTTGCAGGATTGAAGATTGACAACAACCCATTGATAACTCGTTCGAGTTGACTCAGTAACAACTCACTCACGAACTCCTTTCAATTACTAATAAACACCATAACCAAATAACAAAATACTAGTGCTATGCTACCAATCTTATTCCTCAAAAGAAACCCAAAAAAAAAATAAAAAAAAATACAGCTTTATATGAATAAATTAATCAGATAATAGCTTGGCTTTTTGTTTTTTTTATTTTTAATATACAGCTAGGAAAAAGGGGATTTGAGCTATGGAAATGATATGAAATGGAAGAAAGCAAAGTGAAAGTGAAAACACAAAGCTTTGATTTTTCATTGACCCATTTGTCTTTCTCTTACACCTTTTCTGTTCTGACACAGCTTTCTGTGTTTACTTTGTACCTTGTTTTGTCCTGAAAATAATTCATGAGGGTATTTTCGTCCATTTATTACTGTTTGAGATTGTAAAAATCCCGCGATAAAGAATCTTATAGATTATATTACTGTGTTTACATAAATAGCACCGTTATCAGATTTTGTTGGGTTAGTTATTGCGGTATTAGTTATTTCATCCTTCCATGGGTATAAAAAATACAAAAATTTCGAGATTAATTATTTTTCTACTAATTAAATATAGAATAAATTCTTCTTAAATTTAGTTTCGAGATTAATTATTTCTTGTCCCTCGTACCAAACGAGCCCGTATAGTGCAAATAATTTTTGGCATAATTCTCGATTATACAGTTATATTTATCAAATAAAGATTTTTTGTTTGTCAGGGCATATGGAGATAAGAATTGTAAAATTTTAAAAAAAAGTTTTAAAAAAATTCAATTAAAAATAGTATTTAAAAATTAGAGTTGTGTTTTGACATTAATATAATTTTGAGTTTTTTTGAATTTTTCTGAGTCATCTGAGTGAATAATTTTGAAAAATAACTTTTTAAAGTTTTTAAAAGTTTTGAAAAATTTAAAAATTAATCTTCAAGTGAAAATTAAAAAATTTATGGCCGAACACTCATTTTGAAAAAAATAATTCTTTTTGGAAAAAAGTGAAAAAAAAAAATTGATGGCCAAACGGGGCTCTTAATTTTGATAATTCATTACTTCATACACTAGTTAAAGTTAGCATTACACTGGACCACACATTATTTACTTATCTAATAGGCAATGACAAGCAAATTTATTGACAAATTATCACTCAATTTATTGCGTAAAGTAAAACATAATATATTAATGTTTCCTTAAAAGCAAATTTAATTATATAGCTAAGATGAGAGGAGTTTGTTTGATTATCTTGTACTTATAATCAATATCAGGTTAGATAAGAAAAGTAAGTGAAAAACCATTAGTATTAATCCCTTGAGGTGGAACAATTTAAAAAGATATAGAACCAAAATTTTAAAATTAAAAGGAAAAATGTTACTATTTGATAAACGCGTGTTCACAAGTGACGGTGACGTGGTAGATTTTATCGTCCATTTTAGTTATATGGTATTATTTATTTTAAGTTCAATTAATAGTTTATACCGTATTAACCTTCACTTAATAACTCTTAACTTTATCTAATTAATCAAAATCCTAATTTTGATTTGGAGACGAGTGAATTTTTACATTTTTTCACCTATTCACCTACATATTTTTGGGAATTCACACGTGACACGTCAAACAATTTTTATATTCTAGTACCTTCACGTGCATTTCCTTTTACATATTTGACCTTGTGACTCATGCAAACGCAAAATTTCTGACCCACGTGGGCTTCGTCCTTCTGCAGCGTCTTCATAGGGCCGGGAGAAATTAAAAAATGGCCAAATTTACAAATAATAATTGAAAAATAGTAACTTTTAAAAAAATTTAAATTTAGTCACCTTTCATGTCAAAGATAAATTTAAACAATAATACTGTTTAAAATTCGTAAAATATTAAAGCATAATATGCTGGAGTTCGAATTTTTTACATGTGAACTTCCACCATAACATACTGGAATTTCATAATGTGCTGAAGTTCCAACATAATATGCTGGAAATCCATACACAAGTGCTCTAATCTCCAGTATATTATGCTTGAATTTTTCGTATGCTGGAGTTCCTACATAATATGCTGGAAGTTCATACACAGGTGCTCCAATCTCCAATATATTATGCTGGAACTTTCCGTGTTGCAGCAAAATAGTGGCTATTTTTCAATAACTTCATAAACGCTACCTATTTTTTAATTATCAGTTCGAAAACTGGCTAGCCCGTGCTATTTTGACCGTAGGATCTGTGTGCAAAGACAGTAAAAATGGTGTGTAGTAGCCACTAATTAAGGGTATCTTTAATTTTTATCCACTAATTATAATACTCAGCAAAAATAACCACCACTAATAGAAAAAAGACAATTTTACCCTTTCTTCCTCTCTTTCGCGTTGCATTTTCATCTGGAATACCCAAGGTGACTTCATGGTCGGCCTCCTCCATGCTTGGTCAACAGCATCAATCCCTCAATCCCTTATATGTGCACATCAATCCCTCAATCTCTTATATGTGCACATCAATCCCTCAATCCCTTATATGTGCACATCAATCCCTCAATCCCTTATATGTGCACATCAATCCCTCAATCTCTTGTCTCTCTCTCTCTCTAAAAGAAAATGTCGGAACCCCTCTTCATTTCACACACTATTGTTGTTTCTCTCAAGCACAAACTTCAACTTTCAAAACCCAGAAACTTTATAATAAACCCATGGATGAATTGCAGTTCAGTTCGACTCACAACTACTGCCACTGCCACTAAGTGTAGTGGAAAAGTGAATAGATGGTCCCTTTATAGCATGAATGCTCTTGTAACTGGTGGCACTCGAGGCATTGGGTACTTTTTCATTTGCTAGTTCATGATTTATGTTCTGTTTCAAGATATTTATAGTGTTCAGTCCATCTACAATTAAAAGCAACTATTATACATATTGTTTCCATCATACAAGTCAAGAAAATGGGAAACAAAAGACATATGTTATAAAGTAATCCTTGTAGAATTAAGAACAGGTGTACTGTAAGTGCAAGACCAAGATAATGATTGTCTGTCCTTAACATTTAAACATGGAATTAAAAGTTAAGGACTTTCAGTCCTTAACTTTTGAACAAGAAATTAAAACTTAAGGACTGTCTGTCCTTAACTTTTGAACCAAAAATTAAAACTTAATGACTGCATGTCCTTAACTTTTGAACCAGAAATTAAAAGCTAATGATTGTCTGTCCTTTAACATTTAAACATATAATTAAAGTTAAAGACTGTCAGTCCTTAAAATTTAAATATGGAATTAAAAGTTAAGGACTGTCAGTCCTTAACTTCTGAACCAGAAATTAAAAGCTAAAGATTGTTTGTCCTTTAACATTTAAACATGTAATTCAAGTTAAGGAATGTCAGTCCTTAACATTTAAACATGGAATTAAAAGTTAAGAACTGTCAGTCCTTAACTTTTGAACAAGAAATTAAAAGATAAGGACTGTCTGTCCTTTAACATTTAAACATGGAATTAATAGTTAAGGACTGCTAGTCATTAACATTTAAACATGTATTTAAAAGTTAAGGACTGTCTGTCCTTAATCCTTGTAGAATTAAGAACAGGTGTATTGTAAGTGCAAGACCAAGATAAGGATTGTCCGTCCTTAACATTTAAACATGGAATTAAAAGTTAAGGACTTTCAGTCCTTAACTTTTGAACAAGAAATTAAAACTTAAGGACTGTCTGTCCTTAACTTTTGAACCAAAAATTAAAACTTAAGGACTGCATGTCCTTAACTTTTGAACCAGAAATTAAAAGCTAAGGACTGTCTGTCCTTTAACATTTAAACATATAATTAAAGTTAAGGACTGTCAGTCCTTAACATTTAAATATGGAATTAAAAGTTAAGGACTGTCAATCCTTAACTTCTGAACCAGAAATTAAAAGCTAAGGACTGCATGTCCTTTAATATTTAAACATGTAATTAAAGTTAAAGACTGTCAGTCCTTAACATTTAAACATGGAATTAAAAGTTAAGGACTGTCAGTCCTTAACTTTTGAACAAGAAATTAAAAGCTAAGGACTGTCTGTCCTTTAACATTTAAACATGGAATTAATAGTTAAGGACTGCTAGTCCTTAACATTTAAACATGTATTTAAAAGTTAAGGACTGTCAGTCCTTAACATTTGAACCAGAAATTAAAACATACAATTTGAAACTCAAGCTACAGGACTTTGTATACAGAAGAACAACAACAAAGTGAAGGACATTTTGTCCTTAAGTTTTTTTATTCAATTTGTAAAATAAGGCCAGTAGAATCAAAGTTAAGGACATAGTGTTCTTATTTTTTTTTTTTTGAATTCAATTTCTAAAATGAAGACACTATGTCCGGAATACAGAATTATCATAGGAGGCGATGTCTATAACTTTATCAATCCTCAGTTGATCGCCGCTTTGTGTAACTGCTGCTGCTGCTCGTTTCTTCTCTTTGTGTAACTGCTGCTTGTGTTGATAGCGTAGGTATAAGTTATACCAGAAGGGTATTTTCGTCCAGTCAGGTATAAGTTTTTTAAAGGAGTGGCTAAAGTCTAAATACATTGAAAACAGTGGCTTTAAAATAAAAGCCACTGCTTTTAGTGGCTATTTGTGCCGTTCGCCCGCAAAGACAGCATTCGCAGTTTCCGATTTTTCACGCCCCAATAGAGGCCCAATTGCTCAATTCAAAACAAAATTGGGCTAAATATTTTGGTCAGAGTATGGGTCTAAGCCTAGTCCAGTCAAATTACGCCTTACCTCAACCCAATTCTGAAAACAAAGACCATTAATCTTTCTTCTATGTTTTAGAAAAGCAACAACAATTGTTTGGGCTAAACCATCATTGTGTACTTTCTATCTTGACTATAGACTCCAAATTAATTTGTTAAATCGGGGAATAATATGCTTATTCACTTTCTTTTTTCCTTCATATTTCTGTTTTCGTACACGTAAAACTTTGAGTTTTAGCAAATTAATTTTGTTTTCTCATATTGTATTTTCTTAGTAGAGCAATGACGGCTTGTATGAGGCGATAATATGCTCGTCTTAGACTTGGTCATGTCTTTTGATTGATTAGACTCATGCAACACGTAGCGCCATTGAGGAAATGTAGACTAAAATGAGCCTAAATAAAGGACATGATGGACAATGAAAGTTTATATAACTAACTTCAATTTGTTGGGATTGAAATATACTACTCTCCGTTTCATATTAAATGAGGAAGAGAAAAAAAGAAAAGACTTTTGAAATTTGTGGTCTTAAAATCTTAAGGGGTAAAAAGTTTGTGGGGCCATGACATTTGCGTGGCTATAAAAGCTTTTCATTAAGGGTAAATGAGCAAAATGAAAGAGTTT